TGGTGGTGGTGGAGGTGATTATGGTGGTGGTGGAGGTGATTATGGTGAACGAAAAAGGCGACGTCGGTCGGTTGGATACAAACGAATGTTGCGCAAGGCATTGAGTGAATATCGTTTCAAACGAGATCGTACCAATATCGTTTGATACAGATGGATACGGACAATCTCGAATACTCGTTCTTTTCTTATAGTTTCTTGTATTTTATTTTTTATGCGAGAATCATTGCAGTATAAAATAACATGAAATCATACTTCTTTTATCCCTGCATACGTTCACAAATAGTTGTTGAGTAATACAATAGCTTTATGACCATATCACATACATCGATTTTGGATTATTGTCAATGGTTTAGTGCTCAGGGACGACACTATTCGAAGAGATACAGAACACATCACTTACTTGGTGTGTAATAGTCAAATATGATAGTGCTTTGGTTCAACACATATATTCTTGTATAGCTTGACGAGGTTTATTCAGCCATAAGAAAATATTAACGAAAAAATTTAGTTGATTTTTCAGTCACTTGCATTTAACAAAGAAAACAAAATTTTGTATTTCAAGCAAATGTAATACTTTTACAGCTTAGTATCTTCAACATTAGTTTTAAAAAAAATTATTCATTAAATTAAATGAAATAGCAATACAAAGAAACGAGATAACAGCATATAGATTCAGAATTTATATTCATATTTTCGATAAATAAAAATTAATCCATGATGATTGTTTTACATAAACATATAGTTTCAATCAATTTAAAAAAAAGTGGCAATCAATAGTACATTCCAATAGAACATCTCACTCTTTATCATAAACTATAAACATTGAATTACTTACAATCTGCAAACTATCACTTTTCTCGGTTAATAATTTAATACAATTGCAATCGAACTTACAATAAAATCATATGAGATGTGAAATATTATTCATTGTAAATAGAGAACATGACACCCACATCTTGCGTCGGAGGCGGTGGTTCAGTCGCACGACTTACAGCTCTAATCAACCATAAAGCTTTATTCTTACAATAAAAATTTTTCTACCAAAGAAACTATTAGTTTCTTGATTTTTCTTTCGCGCATCCCAAACTCAACTAGATTATCATGTCAACCATGACATTTGTTTTTTAATCGATGAAATTCGAATATAAAGATGATAAATATCAGTTTGGAGTTTAATATTTCAAAGTTTGATTTTTTCTGTCGAGATTTCTTTGATATAAAATAGAGGATACTTTATTCTTCTTGGAATCATATAATAAAACAATTTCACAAGTAATCTTCTTATCAAGAAAAAACGGAAATCAATTTGTATACTTATAAATGTTTTATATATTTAGTATTTTTTCACCAATTTTGTTCGTTTTAAGCTCATAATAAAACTTGATCAACAGTTTCATCGATAATTCAGAACTTAGTTTTTCTAAAAAAATTTTTACTCTAAATCTAATGAAAATTGAAAAAAATATTCATTAAATATGGAGTTAGTAATTTATTCTGCTTTACTTATTGATGCAAGAACTTCTTTTATGAACAAATAACTAATTTAAAAAACAATTAACAAGATATGGTTCATCTAGTATTTTCTTTTTCTAGCACGGTAGGAAAAAAAATATTTTTTAAACTCAGTTTCACCAATCAGAATGCACGTTCTCTTGGCAGAAAGATTGGCCTATTTTTTTTTTGTCTTTATACGACGTATTTTCTGCTGACACGTATAAAAAGAGCAAAACATTTGTGTTGTTTCACGGCAGTTGAAAAAAATAGATCTCTTCAAACAATAACATTGGAAAACCAGAATATCTTGGGTATGTATCGTTTTCTTAAAAAACTTTCATTCTCTAAAAAGGGTATCGATGTGGTTGTGGGTGGATATGGGTCTAAGTGTGAGTACCCAGGCAGACAAGAATTTGAAAAAACGCGTGTAAATGTACAGTCGAGAACCTCGACTGTGAGCTGAACACGTCAACTAATAAAACGCCAAAAACGCCGTTTTTAACGTGTAATTGACACTTTCAGAACGTTAAAACGTTACGAATCTGACTTTTTTAATGCATCTCAAAAGCTAAGCGTTAAACGCTAACAAAGTCAGATTCGTAACGTTTTAACGTTCTGAAAGTGTCAATTACACGTTAAAAACGGCGTTTTTGGCGTTTTATTAGTTGACGTGTTCAGCTCACAGTCGAGGTTCTCGACTGTACATTTACACGCGTTTTTTCAAATTTTTGTCTGCCTGGGTAGGAAGAGAAAATACACATACTCACATTTCATCACCCACACGCTCACCCATCCTTATTGTTTAGTTGAAACTAAGAGAAACAATATTGTTTTTAATGACTATTTACTCGATTACCTAGTTATATAATTTTTTTCAATTTCCTATTATTTTGATTACTTATTCTATGTCACTTATTGTGAATGAGAAAGATACAATAAAGAAAAGATTTTAATTACATAAAAATGTTCACATAGAAACTGAATATACAATACAATAATATATCATTTGTTTATTTTTGATAAATTTACTTAGTGATTGTGCGTAGTATCATAATCTCAATTTTTTTAAACATTTATCTACATTCTTTAAGATTTAATATAATTGTTTGATGCAATACAAATAAGTTTCTATGTAAGACACATTTTTATTAGACCCACATAATGATTTATGTTACTTTCTCTCAGAATATAATTAATATTCATTTTCCATTGAAAAAAATCTAAAATATAAGATAATTATAAAAGAAAAATACTATATTGACTATTGATTTATACCCAATGACGTACAAGGAATTGTTACAATCTATTTAAAAAAAAACTTTCTTTGCTATTTTCCTTTTTTTTTTAATTACATTTTGTTTTCTGATGAATAAAAAAAATATTTTCAATAAGAGTCATATACTATCTTAGTCTGTAAAATTTTATTTGTTCTGATAAATATTTTTATAGTATTAAGTGTCAATATAATTAAATTACATATTTTCATTTGATTATGATTGATAAGGTCAAATTTGGATTGTTTGAAAATGCATAAGATTATACCCGAGTAACGTAAGAATATTATCATAGTGTTAATGTTAGAGCTGGTATTGAACAAGAGATTCATGTATCTATATAACCTGAGAACTTGAATTACATATAGTCTATGATCTTTTAATCATTAAATAATCTTAAACAATATGTTTTCTACTAACATTTCTTTGTTTACTTTTATAGAATAATATATTACTATAAGAAGATTTCTTTTTGGATTATTTTTAGTACATAATTGTTGTCATTATGTACCATGTATATATAATATTTTATTTAGATATTAATCATCATGGCTGATAGATATCTGAAATATTTTTCGATAAAATCAATTATTATTACTGTGTAAGAAATATTATATTTATTTTATGAGATTATATAGTATGAATAATTTTTGTTAGATTTTTAATTGATAAAATGTCGGCTCTCTCTAATTGTTCGACGACTGTTTGGGCATCGAATGCAACAACAATTGTTGGTTCACCTACAGGTTTTGCAGGTTTCAATTCAACATTGTTAAATGGTCTAATAGGCATCGCGGTTGGTACAAATGATTCGATTTATGTCATGGATCATGGTACATACTTTCGTATGCAACTTTTTTATCCAGGTAGTCAATTAGGAATAACAATCTTTAACGCCACCTTTGGTTCAGATCTCAATCAGCTCTCTTCCGGTAAATAATCTAAGATAATTGATATATAGTCAATGTTTTCTTTAATTTAGTCAACGCTTTTAACTTAGATATGAGTGGTAATATCTATATACTTGACACGGGAAACAATCGTGTTACAAAATGGGTCCCAGGAGCATCAACAGGTATACTTGTAGCCGGTGGCAACGGACAGGGCAGTTCTATTAGGAAACTAAGTAATCCTTACGACCTTTTCGTTGAGCCAAATACATCCTATATTTGGATAGTTGATTATAATAATTGCCGGGTTGTGAAATGGATAAATACATCGACTGCAATGCTTGTTGCAGGTGCCGGTTGTGGTACACAAGCTAGCCAATTTTATTATCCTACCGGATTATTTGTTGACACATCTGATTCGAATACACTTTATGTGGCAGACTATTGGAATCATAGAATCCAAAAATGGCTTTATGGAGCAAGCAGTGGAATAACGGTTGCCGGACAATCAGGTGTGTATGGTAGTGCACTTAATCAACTTAATAAACCATATACTTTGACTGTGGACACGAGTGGATCATTATACATTGTGGACTATGGAAATAATCGAATCGTTTTATGGTTATTAGGAGCTACATCGGGTATAGTCATTGCTGGTGATAATACTAACGGAGTATTACCATCTCAACTAAATGGGCCTTGGAATATTAGACTTGATTCAACTGGAGCACTTATTGTTAATGACTACGGTAACAATCGGATTCAAAGATTTTCTGTTCTTTGCTGTAAGTTTAATAAAGAATTATTCAATTTATTTAGCTTTTATAAGATATTTTTGAAGTGTCAAAATATGTCTAATGAGAGAACGTTACCAACTGCCTATTCATTTTTTTTTGTATAAGCTATTGGCTTAGAGATTATTTACTATGTATATTCCGAATGTGAGTGTGAAAAGTTCTCTTAGACCTTCAAGGAATGATTTTTTAGAAAATCGTTTTCAAAACTAGTAAACTATAATAACTTAATAGAAAAATTTATATTATTTTTCTTCGAGTTCATTTTTGCAAAACAGAAAAAACTTTCGTTTTTAAGACAATTTGATATACTCTATAGTCTGAACATATAAAAAACAATATTTAGTTAAAATTTTGTTATTGAATATCATCTAAAAAGAAAAGAAAATTTTTACTCACAATTTATTTTATATCTTCTAGCACCAAATATGACGTCATCATCTTCATCAACAACATCAGTATTAACCAACTCAACACCAATTGCTGCTACATCACAAAGTAAGATGAAAAACATTGAATCAAAAAAAAAGAAATATCTAAATTATATGATCATATATTTTTATTACAGACACAACAATTGCTGTTCCACTTACTACCAAAAGTCTTACAACATCAGCAAGTGAGTAGAAAATTATTTGAAAAGAATCAGTAACTAGAAATAAAAGTTCATATGAAAAATAAAAAATACAAACATCAGATGTATTAACTTTTGTCGCATATAGAATATAGATTTTGAACATGATTTGAGTTTATTTATTATACTAGAATATATCCAATAATTGATTTCGTAATATTTATTTTAATTAGAAAGTAATTATCAAATAGCTTAGAAAAACAAAATTATTTTAATATGTAAAACTATAGTAATAGGATGCAACTAAGTGTTTATAATAACGCACTTTAACAATGAGAAATAAATAGAAAATAATATAATGGAGTAATGCATATTTTTATGATATATACTCATTTGAAAAGTTATAAAAGTAATTCTAGTATATAATATTCAGTTAATGTTTTGCTTATAATTTGAGATATCTAATTGAGGGTGTGGGTGTGGGTGTGGGTGATGAAATGTGGGTTAAGGTGTGGGTATGTGCATCATCTCTCCCTACTCAGACTTAGACCCATATCTATTCACACCCACACTCAAATCCACACCCATCCCACACCCACATCCACA